CAAAGGCCTTGCTGAAGTCCTAATAGAAAACATCCACAGTCTTTCCCACATCTACCAGGTGGGTCACCTGGTCATAAAAAGAGATCAGGGTGGTCAAACATGACCTACCCCTCCTAAACCCATGCTGGCTGGGTCTGATACCCTGACCATCCTGTAAGTGCTGCATGATGACATTCAATATAAACTGTTCCATTACTTTACCAGGTACCAAAGTCAGACTAACTGACCTATAATTTCCAGGATCCTCCTTCCTACCCTTCTTGTGAATGGGCATCACATTGGCCAGCTTCCAGTCATCTGGAACCTCACCAGTGACTGTTGGTAAATGATGGAGAACGGCTTCACAAGCACATCTGCCAGCTCACGCATCACCCTGGGATGGATCTCATCTGGTCCCATGAATTTATGAACATCCAAGTGTTATGAGTAAAAAAGTTATCCATTTTTTTTTAAGGTTGCAAAGTTAAACAGGTTGGTCAAGTTGCTGTTGAGTTGAAATTTTGACTATTTGTTGTTAATAGCTTCATGTTGCAATCACCTATTGTTAATAGTTTTTCTTCAATTACCTGTTAATGGTTAGAAATCAGAAAAGATCCTTTTTACTTCTTACCCTAACCTGAAAAGATGTCAGCTAGAAAGTGGACCTGGAAGGTTAGACCAAAAAAGTGGAATTCCCACTACTCCCTCGAGGACGGAAGCCCCAGCTCTGCCTGCATACCAGTGGACACAGCTGCATCATCCTCTTCCTCCGTGCCACTCCTGGGAGCAGCGGCGGTGCGGGCGACCTGTCGTTTCTCCCCAACCTGAGCTGAATTTTTTAATAAAGGCATTAAAAAGGAGAAAGATCTCCTGCCCTATTTCTTTCACAAGGGGCTCAGCAGTTCTCTGACTGCCTCCTCCTGGATAACAGGGGGACCATTCTGCTCCCTAACAACCCCCTTAAATACTTCCTGAGATACATGACCCTCCTTCCAAAGATGATACATCCTCTTTTTATTCCTAAGTTCCTTCAAAACTTCCTGGCACATCCAGGCTGGACGTTTGCCTTGTTGACTCACCTTTCGGCACACAGGGACAGTCTGTTCCTGTTCCCTTGATCTCGGTTCTGAAGCACGCCCACCTTTCCTGGACGCCTTTGTTTTTAAGGGCTGCTTCCCAAGGAACTCTCTGAATAAGTCTCCTAAATAGGCCAAAGGTTGCTCTCCAGAAGTCTAGTGTGAAAATTTTATTGATGCTCCTCCTTATTTCACCAAATATCGAGAACTCTATAATTTCATGATCACTATGCTCCAAGCGGCCTCCAACCACCACATCTCCCACCAGCCCATCTCTATTTGCAATCAACAGGTCTAACATAGTCCCCCCCCCGGTGGGCTCACTCACCAGCTATGACAAAAAGTTGTCCTCCACACAGTCTAAAAACTTTCTAGATTGCCTCTTTTCTGCTGTATTAAGTTCCCAGCAGATGTCTGGTAGGTTCAAGTCACCTGCAAGAACAAGGGCTGGTGATCCTGAAACATTCTCCAGCTGCTTATAGAATGAGTTGTCCACCTCTTCTTCCTGGCTGAGTGGTCTATAACAGATTCCCAGCAGGATGTCAGCCTTGTTGGCCTTCCCCTGAGTTCTTACCCATAGGCATTCAACTTCATCGTCCTTAGTTTCAATACTCATGGACTCAAAAGCCTCCCTAATATAAAGGGCCACCCCTCTACTTCCTCTCCCTTTCCTGTCTCTTCTGAAGAGCTTGTAGCCATCCAGTGCAGCACTCCAGTTATGCAAGTCGTCCCACCATGTTTCTGCGATGGCGACTACATCATAGCTTTGCTGCTGCATCATGGCTTCCAGCTCTTCTTGTTTGTTACCCAAAGACATTGTAACCTAAAGACTGGTTTCATGAACTCTTCCCCCTGGATTTGGTTTGCATCACATATTTCTTGCAATTTTTGAGACTCAAGGGGTAGGGAATATTCTGATGTACACAAACTGGTAACATCATTGGTAGGATGACTTGTTTGGATTGTCCCCAATGGCAACGGGCATTCTTGTGGAAGGGGCTAACAGTGGGCCTGTTAGCTAAAGGAGCGAGAAGAAGCTGAGAAGGAGCTCTCTCCAAGGCTGCAACCAAGGAGACCAAGAGAAGTGAGGAACTGAAGAAAGATAAGAAGAGAACTTTGCAGCTGGACGAAGTATTTGGAAAGTTAGCTGAAGTCACTGTAACTTTTCACCAATGGTGTTATGTTGATTTATTGTGGCCAATAGTTAGGGTAGAAGAAGTATAAACAATTAGAAAGTGTATAAAAGGTCAGCCATGTTCGATAATAAAGAGTTGCCATCTGAGACTGCTTGTGGTCTCTGCTTTGTGTCGCGACCGCCTTGACAGCAACACATTCTGAATTTAATGTTACACCCTGTTGTTACAATATTATTAGCTAAATTCTAACTGATTTCTATAATAACTTTGTATGTTAATGTTTAACATATAACTCAGCTAACATTCTTTCAAACTACATGAATTAAGAAAAATAGTAAAACTGAGGAGATTGACCTATCTCAACACATTTGACAACAATGTACTTATATGCATTGGATGCTTTTATAGCTTGGAGGCAAGAGGTACCTGTACTACCACTTCATGAGGTAAAGATGATTGACTGAAGTCAAGGGGTAGAGTGTAGCAGGACACCCTGCCCTGGATGCTCTGTCTTGGAATGTGGTAAAGTAGAGGATGTCACATGCCAGTTTTGGTGTTGAATTATGCTAAAACCACTCTGGATCAGCAACCAAATCAACATCCTGATAGTGAGGCAAAGATTTGGCAGATAAGCTGCTAAGCTGACCTGGTGACATATGACTGGCAGTCATATCACTTCACACTAGAAAAGTCCAGTCCACTTTCATATGGTCAGGTTCTAACATTCCTCCATGGAGTGTGTGCATGAAGTTTCCTCCCTTGGGAAGAGGACACTCCCCAAGGATACTCCTTGAGGTAAAGAGACCTGCCCACAAGTGTTGGTATGGGTGAGTTAAATCAATCCCTACATAATAATTGTTTCTTTTTGCTAGCTTTAATATAATTGCTTTGATATAGTGCACTATGCTATACACTACTAGTAGTTTTAGCTTTTATACTGTGTAGTATATAATTCTAAGATCTTTTGTCTAATCATTTGTCATAATAAATAATTAATTTTCTATAAATATATCTGATTTGCCATCTTTAATCCTGAGGGAAAAAGTTACTTACATCATTGACAAAGTCTGGGGCTAAAACTAGATTCAGCTGTACCCTGACTCCTCTCTAAGAACTTTAGAAATCAAGGAGGTCCTCTCTGCACCTTGTGGCTCAACAGCAGGGCTTCTCCAGTAAACGTCATCTCCACCCACAACAACTGCCTAAAATTAGAGCGCAGAGAGCACACAAGCATCAGTTGTTGGCATGGCAACTGTCCTAAATTCAAGAATTGCTACATACGAAAATATCTAATCATATACAGATGTGTTAGTTTTGCATGGCCTGGTTTTTGGTAGTGGGGGAGCCACAGAGGAGGCTTCCCACCATGTCCAGCAGAGCCAATCCCTGATGGCTCTGAAGATGGACATGCTGCTGGCCAAATCTGGGCCAGAGAGGTTGGTAATGCCTCTGTGATAACATATTTAAGAAGAAAATCAAAACAAAGTGGGGCACCATTTTAATTCTAGCTAGAGAAGAGGAGGAGGTGAGAACATGTGAGGGAAACAACATGGTGACACCAAGGTCAGTGGAGAAGGAGGGGGAGGAGGTGCTCCAGGCAGGATGTCACATGCCAGTTTTGGTGTTGAATTATGCTAAAACCACTCTGGATCAGCAACCAAATCAACATCCTGATAGTGAGGCAAAGATTTGGCAGATAAGCTGCTAAGCTGACCTGGTGACATATGACTGGCAGTCATATCACTTCACACTAGAAAAGTCCAGTCCACTTTCATATGGTCAGGTTCTAACATTCCTCCATGGAGTGTGTGCATGAAGTTTCCTCCCTTGGGAAGAGGACACTCCCCAAGGATACTCCTTGAGGTAAAGAGACCTGCCCACAAGTGTTGGTATGGGTGAGTTAAATCAATCCCTACATAATAATTGTTTCTTTTTGCTAGCTTTAATATAATTGCTTTGATATAGTGCACTATGCTATACACTACTAGTAGTTTTAGCTTTTATACTGTGTAGTATATAATTCTAAGATCTTTTGTCTAATCATTTGTCATAATAAATAATTAATTTTCTATAAATATATCTGATTTGCCATCTTTAATCCTGAGGGAAAAAGTTACTTACATCATTGACAAAGTCTGGGGCTAAAACTAGATTCAGCTGTACCCTGACTCCTCTCTAAGAACTTTAGAAATCAAGGAGGTCCTCTCTGCACCTTGTGGCTCAACAGCAGGGCTTCTCCAGTAAACGTCATCTCCACCCACAACAACTGCCTAAAATTAGAGCGCAGAGAGCACACAAGCATCAGTTGTTGGCATGGCAACTGTCCTAAATTCAAGAATTGCTACATACGAAAATATCTAATCATATACAGATGTGTTAGTTTTGCATGGCCTGGTTTTTGGTAGTGGGGGAGCCACAGAGGAGGCTTCCCACCATGTCCAGCAGAGCCAATCCCTGATGGCTCTGAAGATGGACATGCTGCTGGCCAAATCTGGGCCAGAGAGGTTGGTAATGCCTCTGTGATAACATATTTAAGAAGAAAATCAAAACAAAGTGGGGCACCATTTTAATTCTAGCTAGAGAAGAGGAGGAGGTGAGAACATGTGAGGGAAACAACATGGTGACACCAAGGTCAGTGGAGAAGGAGGGGGAGGAGGTGCTCCAGGCACCAGAGCCAAGATTCCTCTGCAGGCCGTGGTGATGACCATGGTGAAGCAGGCTGTCCCACTGCAGCCCATGGGGGTCCACTGGGGATGCAGAGATCCACCCACAGCCTATGGAGGAGGTACACCAGAGTGGGTCGATGCCTGGAGGAGGCTGTGATCCAGTGGGACACCCAGTGGAGAGAGGGGCCCCTGCTTCCAGTCTGGAGCAGCCTGTCCTTGGAGGACTGCACCCTGTGGAAGAGTGACCCACACCACAGCAATTTTGGGAGGACTGCTGCTTGTGAGACTAGACACATGTTGGAAAAGTTCACAGAGATCTGTCTCCTGTGGGAAGGGACCCCATGGTCTCACAGGGGAATGACTCCTCTCCCTGAGCAGCAAAAGAAGATCTTGGGTGACAAACTGACCAAATCCCCTATGCCCTGTCTCCCTGCACTGGTGGGAAGGAGGGAGGGGTTTGGGGAAGAAAAGGTGTTTTTAAGGGCTTATTTTACTTCACATTGTCCTCCTCTGATTTTGTTAGTAATAAACTCACTTTGTACTTCTAAGTTGAGACTGTTTTGCCCTTGGAGTGTTTTCTCCCAGTCCTTAACTCATGAAGCCTTCATTAAATTTTTTCTCTCCTCTGTCCAGCTGTGGCAGGGGAGGGTGAGTGAGCGACTTTTGTGGGTGCCTGGCATTTGACCAGTGTCAGTCCACAATGGAATACCTTTCCTAAACTGAAAGCAAACTTTGATTTCTTGAGAGCAAGGGAAGCCCTGAATTCAAGGGGAAATTAAATGTGAGAAGCATGAAAACTGACCTAAAACAAATGATGAACAATTTTGTTAGGTCAACCCAATTTAAACTTTTATAGAAGACTCCTTGTTTTAAAAACTATGATAGGAAGAGATTTACAATTCATTTTCTCCTTAAAATAACTTTAAAAATTCTAGTGCTGACCAAAAATTAAGGCATGTTATTAAGGGCATTGTCCAAATGCCTTTTAAACAGTGACAAACTTGAGGCATCAACCACCTCTGTAGGAAGCCTGTCCCAGTGTTTGATCACCCTCTCGGTAAAGAAATGCTTCCTCAGGTCCAGTCTGAACTTTCCTGGTACAGCTGTGAACCATTCCCATGCATACTGTCACTGTATCCCAGGGAGAAGAAGTCAATACCTCCCTCTCCACTTCCTCTCCAAAGTAAGCTGTAGAGAGCCAAGTCACCTCTCAGCCTCCTTTTTGCCAAACTAGACAAACCCAGAGCCATCAGCTGCTCCTTATAGGACAATCCTTCCAGCCCTTTCACCAGCTTTGTTGCCCTCCTCTGAGGGCAATTCAAGGACCTTCACATCCTTCTTAAATTATGGGGCCCAGAACAGTACCAGAGGGAAAGCTGCACCAATGCTAAATACAGCAGGAACAATGTCCCATGTCTGTCAAACAGACATTTGGGCAATGTCCTTAAAAATACAACTGACATGCTTCATATCACCAGCTTCCACTATTTTTGTGCAGCCTTCCAAAATAGGCCCATATAAGGTAAACAAACAAACAAAAAAAATCAAACCCAAACCCAACTGAAATATTTTCAATAGTAGGTATAGCATTTTAGAATGCAGTTAAGGAGTACAGAAGCAGCAGTCAATACTTCAGTTCTATTTATGCATATTTTCTTTCTCCACATTGACCCTTCCCAACATTACTTTCTTTTGAAGCTATTAAATTTTTTTTTTTCATTCACAACTACTCATTGAGGCCTATTCCACTGCTTGAAAGCAAGCAAAGCCAAGCCCACACTGGGTGTCTTAAAAAAGATTGCATCCATTTTTATCACCCCTTGGCTTTATTTTCAAAGTGAATTCCTAGTTTAAATGTAATCAACTAAGAAACACCTCCCTATGTGCACTTCTGCCATTCCTCATTGCTTGCAAAGAGTATCAAGTGCAAGCAAAAGGAAAAAAGTCTCAGCACTGCCAATCAAACTAAAAAGGTCCTACTTCTGGTTTTGCCAGTCCTGAGGAACCACCAATGCACCTCAGACCTTTAGAAAAAAAGGAGAGAAAGCCAAAACATTAAACTTATTAAACAGTTAATTTAAAAAAAAAAAACCTTAAGAATTAAAAAAAAAAAAAGACAAAAAAACACCACAAAAAACCCACTCATATCTAAAGCTGAAGTCCACCTAGGCAGGAAGGCACTTAATCCAGGAACAGCAAGAGCTTCCCTTCAGAAAGTAGAAGGCAAGTTTGCAGGCTGCCCGCGAAGTGAAACCCGCTGCAGAGAAGGCCGTCGGAGAGCCCAGCACCCTCCGACCCCGAACCGCAGCACCGAGAGCAGGGATGGCGCTATAACTCGGCACGGCTCAGCGAATAAAGGGCGAGCAGCTGCCGCAGTCAATGCACCGCCAGAAGACGGTCCGGCCCAGTACAGGGCGGGACAGAAGGATCGGCCGCGTGGAGCCGCCGTCCCGCCCTGCCCCAATTGTCGAGCCGGCAGTGAGAAGCGATAAAATCTTTTGTCTGGCTTTCCCTTTCGGTGGGAGGCAGAAAATCGATGAGAACATTAACGTTAAAATGAGAACAAAGTGTCCAGTCGCCGCCTCCAGCGCAAGGCACCGCCGCACAGCAATACGCATAGCGATGCGTACAGTAATGCGCCCGGACCGCACAAAGTGCAAGAGCAGCATCCTCGGCGAAAGTTTCCTGGGGAAGTTATAAACCCCTTCCCCACAGAGCCACCACCACCCCAACGGGGCCTGCTTGCGGGTGGGAGTAGTAGCTCGCTCTCACTCACTCACACACGGCAAGGCAAAACCGCTTCCGCCCGCCCCCCCCNGCCGTAGGGGCGGAGAGTACCAACCTCCAGTGCCCTTTAAACAGAGGTAGGAAGGAATTAACCAGGGTCACCAGCTCGCAGAGGGGAAAAAACAGTGGGAGGCGGCGGTCGCTTCGTGCGGGAACAGCAGCGGAAGGGGGGAGGGAAGTATTGCTCCAGAAGAAGAAAGAGCAGCAATTTTCTCCTCACCTCGCCGTTGTCACGCAGGGGCTCATCCTAAAGTAATCCGTGAGCCCCTCCGCGCCCGAGCTGCAGCAGCTCCCCGCCGTCACATCCACTTCCCCCGCTCCTCCCAGTGGTGGGGCCTGAGCAAATCGCGCCTCCACCCTCTGGCTCGCCGCCGCCCTAGAAATGCCTTTGTTTGCAGCTTTCCCCGCACCACACACCCACTCCTGGGGGCCCGCACCCTCTTTTAAGTCTTTATTTTGGATTGAGGCGCCTCCCGCCCTCTTCCCTCGTCGTCCCCCTTCTGCTGATTCATTTCAACCAGCGGTTGTGAAGGGGGGGGAAGCGGAGGCATCTCCTTGCTATTGTGGCTCGGGGTATGGTGATGACCCGGATTGCCAAATGTGGGGAGCTGGAAGGAAGCAAAGCCAAACGGGATTACACGCTCTGGATTACATGGAGCGGGCACAACGCATCGGGAAAGTTAAAGGGACAGGCAAAGGGCAGCGTGCCCAACCCTCCTGTCAGAGACCGGGCCGGCCGTTGGCGGCAGGCGTCGTGGATACGTCACAGAGCAGAGCGAAGTAGTTATTCCGTGTTCTGGATCTGAGGAGGAGGAGGAGACTGGTAGAGGAAGTTGCCCGGCCCGAATTACAGCCTGAGAGTGAAGGCCGCACAGCGGGGAGAGCGGGGG